ATCTATACCTGATTGTTGGATAATTAAACTGATTTTGAAAATACGTATATTAATCTATACCTATCCGTTTATTAATAAACACTTTGACTAAAATTGTGAAATACAAAACCCTTGAAACAGCTTCATATACCCTTACGATCACAAACCCTTCGGCTCATGTACCCTTCAAGGATTTATAGAAAAAAAAATTAAGGACAAGCGTTGATTATTCTGCCCTTTTTTGCAGTGAAGGGCTCGTATTTCGATGCTTCAGAAGAGAATTTTGACAATATACATGAAAGCGACAAGGCGGAAGTAGTGCCCTGTAGGGGCGCTGACAAACGACGAGAAGTAGCATTGGTAGCTTGAAGCGAAGAGTTTTTTTTCAATAGAGTTCGAGAAAAGGATTTGATGTCTCAGCTTAAGTACCGACTAATGATATAAGAAGCCACAGCAGGTATCATCCGATCTAATTTTGAATCGATCTTCAATAGTGCGGTGCTTTTTTTGTGTTTTTTTCACAATTAAGACAGTCGATGTCCAGTAGTACGAGGGTGGCGGCCTGTATGGTCGACTAGCAGTCAACCGAGACCTGATTGATAGCTTTCACTCACAAAAGGCTCAACCGTTAATTTAACACTACGCTGAGAAAAAGGGATGCGGTACGGCAATTACCTATTTTGAAAGGAATTCTAAATCTTCTGAAAAGTTTCGTACGGTTTGAACGAAAGCTTCAATAAGGTTTCGAAATCGTTTCAACAGTTGAAGCATTTTCAAGGTTCGTATGACGTTAGGAATAATAGTTGTTGAGCACGCTACCAATTCTTTCTCACCGCATGATTGCAAGATATTCATCAGTAATAGTATCATGAACGCTGTTTTGCATGCGAGTGCGAGCTTCACTGTAGCTTTCTAATTGGAATATAGTAGATCCAGCACCAAATAACAAGTAAATCACATTCAGTCGAGGGTTAAGCTAGTCTTTGCCGACGAGCGGTACTTGTTATACACAAGGCGTTAAATCCGATACAGATTCCTATCGGAACTCCCATTGGTCAGAAATTGAGTACATAAAAAATGTGACGGCTGCAAAGTTAGACTTTTTATTGCAACTCCGTTCTTAATTCTGATGAAAGTTTGAAATAGGCTACCAGAGACCCAGAAATCTGAACATGATATCATTCATCTGAGCCCCCTCCCCGGATGTGATAGCTGAATGATGATTGTTTCCGATGGGTTCCAGCTATATGATCCCATGAGATGGTGACACTGGGGATTCGAGGCAAATTCTTCAACCTGGACATGCGCGGTATTGCCATCGCATTGATGGATATATGGGTATGCGTATCTGAAATATATCACGCTTATCAATAGAAAGGTAATGTCAATCTGAAAAAAAGAATTAAATATAAATCTAGATAAATGTCACACATAGAAACTAGTGGTTTAACATAGAAATTAGGGTTGAGGGTAGAAATAAGGGGCTAAATATGAAATTAACGATTGAATATAGCATTAGTCGCGAGTACTAGACTAATTGAGTGTGGCAGACTACATGTTACTACCCTAGAGCCATTTTTGGAAGAAAAAGATTTCAGCTAGAACCAGATTTTGCTTGAACGTTAAATGACTCAGAAAGTGATACCCAAATCTGAAATCTGAAAAGATTCAGTATGACACCTTTTTCAGAGTAGCGTTGTCAATCGATTGAATCATTATCTTTAACTGTGATCATATACATTACTAGCTGAAAAGATGACGATATCATTGTTGAATAATCTAGAGGATTTGTTCAATAATCACAGGATTGACTGTGCTGTGTTATTGTAGTGTTTAGATTTCAGCCGAGTGAAGAATGGTTAGAAAGCGTTGCTGATGAGGGAAAGTTTTGTTAATTCTTTGCCGGGCTTTAGTATTATTCGAACATGATAGTTGCTTTATTTCGGGCTTACGTTATTGGATAGCACGATATCATTGCTTTGCTTTGTGATTCTTTTGGGAATCAGAACAAGTGAAGCTATGACGTTAAATGTTGCATGATGATATCGGTGGGTAACAAAGGAGGAGAAGACGTCGTACGTACTAGTTGTTGTGAAATGATGGCATATTCGTGAGATTATTACGCAGCTGAGTTCGTGAAAATATGAGGTGAGCTTTTGCTGGGGGGAACGCTCATAAAGAATATGTCGGAAGTACTTAAATATTTGTGAAGTTGACATCGTGACCATAATATGGTTGTTACAGCAGAGGCAAGTCCCCTCTCTGTAAGCTATTCGATCAAAAAAGAAGAACAATTTTCCTTTACCAACCACACTCCTATTTATTCTTATCACATCATATATATACATAGACTCGTCCCTCCATACAAAGAGAGAAGAGAAAGAAGAAAAGAAAAAAAGATTGACCTAGATGTTTATGTGAACGAATTTCTCCCTAGACGATATTAAATAGTCCAAGAAAGAAGAAAGTAAAATAGAAGAAGTTATTGTTAGAATGCTCTCTAACAATGGTGATGTATGAAGAGTAGTGGACTGTGTTCTGTCGAACGTAATTTCCCTCAGGCAGTACTAGGTGTGGGTGTGCGGTGTTTTCGTGTTCCCTCCTTTTTTTAATTTTATCCGGGCGATCATTGTCTTGGTTCGAGTTCCTTCGGAGACAAAAAAATGCATATTTGGTGAGTAGTTACTTGATAGATTGATGTTACGTTATTACTGGCTGATGGAACACGAAAAGCTCTTGATCGACATGGCTAGACCAATTTACCAAATAAATTGATACACATTACATTATTATATAAAACACGGGCGTCATAAAATGAGTTAATAAATATGCAGATTACCGTTTGCGATAATCTCGTTTATTTAAGGATACATAATGAAAAACTCATCTTACTCCTACTGAAGAAGTAACATTACTGATATGCTTGGAATGGTGGAACTCTGACGTATATTTTAATCTACTATTTCACAACATTCATACTGAGGAGGAAAAAACTAAACTATGAAGTGGGGGGGGGAGGGATTATGGGTTTATGTGCACTACCTCAATAACATTTCAAGAACTATACATTATGTGATGCCACTTTATTCGAGCGATGTTTCTTGTCTCTATAAGTTTCGTGTCTGCTTAAACAGTGCATGAGGCATTTCGATCTGATGTCGATGGTAAAGATCATGTTAGAGACTGTGTTATTCGTTTTGTCGTGTTGTATTGGAGCAACAGCTATGCGTACTTCTTTTGGAAGAAAACTGAAATTTTCTTACACATAAGTGATTGATCATGGTTAAATTGTCGTTGATTTGAAAATTTTTCATAAAAGATACAAATAAAAAATAAGATTTACTCAGAAATCAGTATGAATTCAAAATAAAATGTGTCGTCTTCTCTGAAAACAAACTGTCATACTGAACCATTAGAATTCATAAATGTTTCTAGCGAGGACGCTAAATCTGTAAAGGTTTGATTCGCTTCTTAATAAACCATCGAGAGTTTCAGCTAATTTAAAAAACCATGTGAGATTACAGATGGTTCCAGATGTTTAAAAGAGTTCTTTCTTGCACCATTTTTCCAACGATGGTTCTGGCTTGAGCCAAGATGCGGTATTTTCTGAACATGATTTAATTAATGTAAATCTGAAATAGTTTTACTTTTTCAAGATAATAAGGATACAACAAGTGACAAACGTCACTTAAATTGATAATCTGCCGGCTAATCATATGCATAAGTGGGAATGTAACAATATCAATAGGGTGTTCGTGTATTGATATTGGTATTCCCAATACAGAAAAGATAAGTGCAAAAAACGGAAATCTCTCCGTCAGGGACAAATAGAAATCGAGATTTAAGATAATGACGCGTGCAATATTATTGCCGAATTTTAAGCCAGTAGCCTTCGCGAAACCTAAGCGTGTGATTCGCTAACTATGATTTAAGCATGACTCAAACACAAGATGATCAATTATATTCACAGATTTCGCGTAGGACATAGACTGAAAATGACGTCGATTATAATTAGCTACCCTAAAATTACTTCCTTTAGGTAACTCAAGGTGAGGAGTTATAATTTGAGCTTCATGTTCCGAAAAACCCTATTGACCGGTCATAAACCAAAAGCAATCGCATTGTTTGCAATACGAAGCTCAAATTTGAACTCCGCCACCTCAAATTACCAAAACAGAGCGCTTTAGCTCTTGGTCCAGCAATACAATACCACTGGAGGAAGGGCCATATAAAATGAAATGCATTTGCTTGCTTGCTAGGGGTCAAAAGATCGAAGGTCAAAGGTCAAGCATGAGATGCTTGATAATAGGATCTTTAGGTAGCTTAATTCAGTCGATTACATTATTTTCTCATCGGGACTTTAGTGAATAGGATTTCATCAGCCCTCAATTCAGCCAATCACATGTTTTCCAGCTCTGGCCATCAGCCACTTTTTAAAAGACTCAAAATTGACTAGAGAAAGAGGAAACAGCGTCTTTTCTTAGGCGTCGTCTACTTGTTGGACAATCTAAAAGTCGTTTTTTGGTCAATCAACAGATTGGCATGCAGCTTTGGGTAAAATGCTGTAGAGAATATATTCAGGAAAAGGAAGTTGAATTTAAGTTTGATATATACATGGGTTCAAGCTAGAGCCCGTCAGGTCCAGAAATTTCGGACCACGAACCGATCTATTTGAATTTTCTGAACCCGGAACCGGACCCGGTCCATTATACCTAGGATACCGAGTAAAATATCTTAATCAGAATTTAATACTGCATGTTAGTCGAAACATGAAGTGTCTTTGTCTAATTTTTGTATTTGATGACTGGCGCATTCTGTATTTGGATGATATAACGATAAGTAAATACGATTCGTTCACAATCATAGCCTATAGTTTTTGGTGAAGTGAAAGAAAGAAACACAGAGATGTATGAAGACAGTAGCATATTTTTATTTATATAACATCAATAAACATTATCTTCATCATAATCCTGATTCATTTTATTATTTAATAAATCATATTCAAAATAAAACTACATATTATGAATGTATTGCTCAAGAAGAACGAAATTATCGATCTAATCAAACAACAGGATGAATCAGTAATATTTCAAAAGCCAAAACAAACATCAAAATCATTTTCAGTATGGGAACACTTTAGTTTGATTGTCGTTAATAAAATAAAACAAGAAACGGTTATTTGTGATAATTGTAAGGACTTATTAACATATCGACAGAAAGATGGCACAACAAGTATGGCAAAGCATTTCCGATCATGTCACAGTGATGCCGCAAATGCAAGAAGTTGTTTAAACAAACAAACAAAGGTTACAGAATATTATGCATCCTCGCAAACATTGACTATACCAAAGAAAATCAAAGAAAAAGTGAAAATTGCTTGTACAGAATTTACAGCATTAGATTGTCGA